AGAAAAAAAATGTGTGCAGATCTGATTGAATGTTCCAGCAAATGCAAAAAGTATGATGAAGATAATTTATAATATAACGATATGCATGCAAAAAAAAAAAGAAACAAATTTGCTCATCTGTTTTATTTTCATTGAAACGCAACACTCTGAGCACCTCTTAGGATAAAACAGGAGAATGAGAGTAAGATCCGAAGCTGTTATTGTTATGGAGAGACTCTTGAATTAATGTGTTTGACCTCTGTCAATATTCTCTGCAGAGCTTCAACTTTAATGAAAAGAAGCTAAAATGAGGTTAAAATGAACCTCATAGGCATGTGGTTGGAAAACAGAGAGTCTGTCGATGCATTATTCATATTGGAATCAAATTCTTTGGCTTCTCACGAGCGCTCTACATGATGAAAAGTTGACCTTCAAATGTCTCTCTATGAGAAAACAACTCCACATTTCCAAAACACCACACTTGCTTATTTTCTCTTATTTTTTCATCTAAATTACATCAGTACTAATCCCCCACCTTCAGCCTTAGGAGGGATATTCTAGCCTGGCGTTGCTCGAGCCATCAGCCTGCTCTCTAGTTCACAATCTTTTACTTAGATCTGAATTAATGCTGCAGGTGAAATTATACAGTCTACAGATGCATGACACATCAGGTGCTGCTCAGAAGAGAGCTTTGGTAAAAGCTTTTTCTCCGAGTGGTGTGTCCTTCAGAGCTTTTGCGTCAAAGAACCGATGAGCAGGGGAAAAAAAAGACCCATTTATTAAATGTGCTGAATACACAGCAGGAGGAAAACACAATAATAGATCCCATTTTTGACAGCACGTCTGCTGTGTTTTGGAGAGGATGCAGAGCAGCATGAGTTAAAGCAAGAAAAACCCACATATGCAAACACAAAGTCTGTGTCTGTCATTTATTTATCGCTCCATTTACCACCTGTCAGTCAGCTGGCTGATAATTGTGCAGGCATGGACAGTGAATAGTGAAGTAAGTTTGCTTAGTGAGTCTTATTCACCTCCAATCAGCCACAGTGTGAACTATCCATTTGCTGTGAATAAAATAAATAGAGGAGTAGACAGAGAACTTAGTCTGTCAGCAAACAATGGCTGCCTCAGCCTATGTTAGAGCCGTGCAGACTCACTGTGATGCCTGATGGGAGATACAAAAACAGCCCCCCAGAACACCTCAGTCACGCCGGGGACCATGAAACTGCACATGGCGTCACCATTCTCAGCTTTGGCAAAGAGGCCGAGATCAGTGTGACCACAGCGGCTTTGAAACGTCTCATTGCTCTGAAAGGGGAAACTCTGAGGGAAGCCCACACAGAGTAAGAGGTTTTCAAAGCAACTACTAAAAAAATCTGTTTGTTTATCATCTTTTCTCAACTTGTCCCTATAATAAAAAGTAAAAGAAGAAAAGTAAGCACTAAAAAGCAAGAAAATGATAAATGGAAACAAAATAAATCCTTTAATATATTTTGTAGCTATTTTCTTAATCATAATTACATATAAACTTTTTTTCTTGGATTTAAAAACACTTAGTACTCTAATTTGGGAATATCTTGACATCGTAGGTTCACTCATTTGACTGGTAGTTTATTAAATCACTGAAACTGATGAAATTTTGTGATCAGTTCTTTAAGAAAACCATATTGAGTCTTGATTACAAGTTTAAATAAAAAAAAAAAAAAACTTTTTAAAATCTAATGATAAATATTTAAAATATAGTTGTCTTTTATATTTTGTAATGTATTTGTACATGAATATCTGATATTTTTCCTCATAAAGTAGCCCAAGGAGAGTCAGAGTAACAGTAAAATTAAAATGCTGTCTAAGAACTATTTAAAGACAGAAACTCAATGCATTTTCATTTATTTTAAACTATGCCAGCTCAGTTTAATTTATTTGTAAAAGCTACAGTGGCTAAATGTCAAGTCTAAGTAAGTTTATCATGATTCATAAATAATAAGTCTTACCAGTTATTCTTTATTCTCAAGTAAAGAGAGGAACGATGTGGGTATGGATAACAGGTGGACTTATAAGCACGGCAGGAGGTCTTGAATTAAGCTCAGCATACTAGGATTGAATATATAGGAGCTGAGACTAGAAGGCTCCCAGTGCTGCCTCGGTGAAATCCATCTTGAAAATCCAGGTGATTAATGAAGGCGGTGCTCCACATGGAGGAGATGGATGAGAATTGTTTAATCTTCATGAACTATCCTTTGTCGCTGTTTAAACTGCAGGAGATGTAATGTATGGGGCTGCCGGAGGGACCCGTCTCCTTTTAATATATAATAAAGAGAGCGAAGAGGGCAAAGAGCTTTACTTCCTCTGCTAATAACACACCTACACTGACTCACGCTTCCTTTGACAGGCAGAGCTGAACCAGGTAAAGTTACCATGACATTTTGCTCCATCAGTTTGTTCTCTACTGCTAAACATTTATGACATTTTTAATTAGCATGTAGCTACCACAGGAAGTGTTGTTTCAAGGATACTCATATTTTATCACACACACTTTGACTTGCCAAAGACGCACGCTGACTCCTAAAATCCCTTTCTTTGGTTTCTTTATTGTCCTTTCAAAACAACAGCGCTCATCCTCATTTCAAATGAACATGCAGGCAGCTGTGATCGGAGTAGCACACAGACTAAGAGTTTGAAAGCGTGCCCAGATTCTGTTTTTTTTTCGGCAAAAAGAAAACTGTAGGAAAAAAGTGAAGAGTAGGAGGTGTGAGAGAAATTAACAGTGGGAAAGAAGGTGAAGGATTCGGTTTGTTCATGCTGACAGGCAGTTATGATAATAAAGACCTGCTGTGGGTGGAGGAAGATCACAGCTAAGAGACTGAAATATCTCAGGGGGTGACGAGGTTAAAGCTGCCTTCAAGCTGATTTCTGTGAATCTAGACACACATGCTCTACAAACACACTCACTGTACTGTAAACAGAAAAGCCAACACAGACACACACACTCCCTCTTGGAAAAGGGCACTAAGTTGTTGATGTGTCCACTGATGCAGGGAAAGAACAAATCGCTTCTTTTGAAGGCAAATCAAACACAGACTCTGATTTCTGTCATCGTGCCGTTTGGCTTTAAGGCTGCGAGGCTGACATCTGACACAACATCCATCCACAGTCGCAGCCAGGCAGGCGTACACACATTTACACACACTCAGCTGCATGCTGTGGAGCTCTGTCAGCTCCTTTGAGATCCTGGTCATTGCTGTCAAAAAGACACAAAACCTCCTCTGCATATTAAGCCCTGATAGCGTTGCGTCTAAGCTTCTTTGTAAGTCGCTTTAGTGTTCAAACTGTCATTCAGTCGCTTTGTAAACCCTCTTTTGGTGACAGGTTTGACCAAAATCTGACTGTTAGTTTTATATGAATTTAAACCGGCATAGAAAAGGCGAACAAAACTTTACCGCACACCCCTTAAACTTTTGATATTGGGGATGGTGCAAGTTGGAATTGTGAGTTCTAGAGATGTGTGTTTTTAAAGAAACTTTTAGTGTTTCTTGTAGTTGTAGATGTAAAAACATGGTTATGGTTCCACCTGACAAATACGAAAGCATGTTTGTAAAGTTGCTATTGTGTAATAATTTTGTGGCGTGTCCTTTCTCTTCTTTTTTGGTATACTTGGTCATATTTTCCGAGTGATTTGAGGGTGTATGCAGTCCTAATTAAAAAAGTGTCTCCCCTCCCTGTAACATGTTTCTGTATTTAAACTACTAACTCTAATTAAACCAGCTTCTTATGCCTGTTAAGTAATTACATTTTAACATGAACACCGTTAATGAATGAAGACAGTCTAATTAACACAGAAGCTGAGGAGCTCTCATTCACAGAGACAAAACTAAGCAGACGACTCTTTGTAATTATCTATTCCTAACTCTACCTGCGAGTCATATTTCAAAGCATCAGGCATGTTTTCTTTCTTTGTAACCTTAACGCTCATTTGCGTAAATGTTATTGATCGAAGATAAGTCAAAAAATAGAAAACAATCCGAGTTAAATGAAAAGTTTGATTTAATGTGAAAATTACTAAGAAGGGATGCAGATTTCTATTTCTGGAAAGTCAAAGTACCGACTAAGAGCAGTGATGAGAAAGACTTTGCAGGATCAGAGTTTTTTTTTTGATGCATCTCTGACCTCCGCGACCTAGAAGCAGCTTTGAAATAGACTGGCTGTATTTCAACTAGGATACAACTTTTTTGCTTCCGATACAACAGCGATATTGTAGCCTTTGATATTGATCGATACCAATATTAATCCAATGTTGACACAAAATTATGCATGACAAGTTTTTTACTCAGCTGCAATGTCTTTTTTGGGCTTAAAAAATACTGCTACACGGCCAACATCACTCTTACTCCTTGCTACTTTGTTAGAACCTGAGTACACACTGTTGTTGTGATTTTGTTAACTCAGCTTGCTGGATCAGGGCACTGCTAGATAGAGATGCCAGAACGGAGTCTGAAATGGACTGCTTGTATCAGAGTTCTGATATCGGAGATTTTACATGCAGGCCGATATAATCTGATATTCAGGGTTATTTTTGCTGATATTGGACAGATAGCCGATATCAATATTGTATTGGAACACCCAACACTCAGGCTAAATTTCAACTCAGGCTGTCAAACAGTTAATATTTTCTAAATCAGGATTAAGAAACAAGAGTTTTCATCCTTTTAATTGCCATTTATCACATTTTATCTTAAGTTTACTCTGTTTGTAGATTGTAGCTCGAACTCAAAGTACTTTGGTCTTGTATGTCTTGTTTTAGGGCGGGTTAGTGGAACTGACAGAAAGATGGCCCAAAGTCACAGTCCTGTGGGATCAAATTAAAAGGGCTACGCTTAAAAAACATCAACGCGTTAAAGCTGTCTCCATTACGACTCCTGGCATTTGAAACTAGGGCTGTTACAAAAACAGGGGGATGTACATCTGATTCTTGGTGAGGAATACAGAGCTCATGTTACATTGATTTAATATCAAACAGCTCCTCCTCAGAGCTCAGGTTCTTGCTTGAACAGATCTGCTTTGATTCCGCTTTTCAAAGAGAGTGGAGACAGATTCTGGATCTGAAAGAAAGTGATTAAAAAAAGGGACTAAAATAACATCCTGTGAAAAGAGCACCAGCTGAGACTGTCTGTGTTTACCTCGTGGATGTCCTGGGTGACTGGAACTTTCTTTAACAACACAGCGGGAGGGTTTCTGTTAAAACTAAGTGTCGATACAATCTGGCTCAGTCGGAGAACTTTCTGGAAACACAGAAAAAATAACATGCACGCTAAAACTATGTAACTGTGGTCTCTGACATTTTAATCACTTTGTTCTGCTCCCTGCATACACAAGCAGATATACGCAGACACATAGCAGGTAAATGTGCAAATATGCACAGCAGCCTGGAGAAAAAAAAATGGATTCTTATGAAGGAGAAGGTCTTGCTGCACAGATGTTTTCCTCTGAGTGTTGCAGAAATGTCAGAATCAGTGTACTGAGAAGGGGGATAAATTTAAGATGCATCTGTCCTGTTCTTCCTGAGGTATCAGCTGTCGTTCTGGATGCAGCAAACACTGATATCTGTCACTGTGTGTGTCTCAGGGTTACTTCTTTGTGTTATGTTTGAGCCATCCAATGTCTGTGTGAGGTATCCCACCAGTTCAATAACAGAGCAGTACACCATGAATAAAAAAATATATAAGGAGGCTAGGGCGGTCGATTTTTCAAAATATCAACTTTAATATTAAACATGACGACTTTCACAGTTTTGTAACTGATTGTATTTGTATTTGTATTTAATTAGCACAGATTAAAAACAGTGCAAGGAGGGAACATAGCCGATAGGCTTATACAGAGTTTCACTCCTGTCAGGGCAGTAAAGGCATAGGGTGCAAACAACAAAATAATTAGGACATAGTTTATAAATGTACAATGAGTAGGGAAAGGTCAAACCATATACAAATTGTCATAAATAGAACAAAGACTAATCATCAACCAGCCCAACCAGAGATAGAGAAATTGTAAGTATACATAAAAAGAAAAGAAACATGAACATAACAGATAATGACGTGTTTAAGACATGATTAGATGTGATTTCAATGATATTTTAAAGGATTTGAAGGATAATATTGATGGTCATTGGCAAAGGGTAAAAAAGGCAGACAGACACGCCAGGGTTGGAGAATTGCTGTTGGTGGTGGTGCCGCCAATTCACATGGGGTGCAAATCCTTAAATTTGTAGTCATTCCTTTTGACATACTGCCCATTTTTTGTCTTTTATTTTTCCATCAACCGTGTGAAACCCAAAATACTTCCTTACAGCACTTTTAAGAAGTTTTGGTTTTCTTTGGGATTGTTCACTCAGAGCAGCATCTTTGACTATGTTTTCCATTTTTGTTGAATAACATTACTGAGGTCAAGAGTGCATGGATTGGCCAAGTTACGATGAGCGTGCACAGTGCTGGATTATAAGGGGAGCTACTTCAGGCAGGCTGATGTGCTGGGAAACTATCTTATAAAGACTTTGAACAGGTCATTACAGTTCAAATATGAACTTTCCCCTAGAGTTCAAATCAAGGCTTAAATTTTTCCTTTTTTCTCTTGATAGAAAGTCTGCGTCCATGAACACGTTTCATATGTGGGTCTGAGCAGCAGTGATAGCGAGGACTCATACTCATAAATGTGGGCAGTACAGAGTTATTTATGTCATTGTAACACCTCCCAAAGGAGCATGTCAGGACAGTGAGAGACAGAGGTCTGCAGCAGGCCATGACCCAGTCTGATATGTGGTGAGTGTTTGGGGAACTAAACACCCACTGCTTGTCAAAGCAGCAGCCTCAGAGACCCGGAGAGGACTGTATAGATCTTGGCTGTGGTTGAAATGGAGGAACATTTGAAACAACATGTGGCCCTGTGTGTGTGAGAGCAGCTAAGCTATCTGAATAATGCTGAAGAATACATTGAATTTATACTAATATGAAAGGAAACACCACTTTTCTCAGAGTGGCTCAATTTTATTTTAACATACATATAATCTGGAAGCCAAAGATTTGGATTTTTTGGCAGAAAAAGGACAAGAAATGCAGAAAATGTTAAATGTTACGCTACGTGTTCTCCACCTCCTCATAGTCCTTCTATAACCTCACACCTACACACATTACTCACATCCTATCACCCTGAAGTTAATCGTTGCTCCTCACAGAATGAAATGTGAGGGCTCTTGAGAGGTCATTACTCCACATGCATTGATAGTTTTAATTAGATTTGGTTGCCCAAATGTGCAATGAGACCAAATAAATGTCAGTATATTGACTTTGAGGTTAATCTTCATGAAAAAGCCTGCTCAATACTGTGTTGAGATTAAACAAAATCAAGGGGGAAGAATTAGCAGAAGTGGCCTCTTCAGCTGGACTCTGGCAGAAATTTGATGCACTTATAATCTGCGATGCATGAATGCACAGATTTTGAAACATGCAGAGCAGAGATGTAGTTGTACCAGTTAACTGCTTTGCCATGCAAAACCTAGTAGAGCTTTCCAGCCACATGATATATAACAACACTATGATGTTTTCTGTCTTTTTCTTTATATAAAGAGACATATCATTGCAATAAAGCAAAAAGAAAGATCCCTAAAAGTTGAAGTGGACATTATATAAAAAAAAAAAAAATTGGGTGCAGCTGCAGTTTCTCTTTGCAATACCTCTACTCAAAACAACCACTTAGAAACATTTAAAATATTTCTCAGAGACAAGACTTTCTATGACCTGCTGAGTCTATGTAAATGAGTTTGTGCTGTGATGCTATAAGTTCTTTTCTGAGGGGTACTTGATCCAAAGGCCTTTGGAGTGTGCACAGCTCCTTTACAGTGTCTGAACAAGGTAATGATACCACTAGAGGCTTTGAAAAACAGGACTCTTGTGCACAAATTCCTGGTTTTTTTGCCTGCGAAACTCAGCACACTGGCTCCCTGTGCACTTGTTGACAGCAGCTTGTAATCTGAAAATAGTCTGCAGGGTTTAGCTGTTAAGTCCCTCGTTGGACTGGGATATAGCAACAGTAGGAAGAGGAGGACAAGGATGAAGACGACAGAGCATCTTTCCTCTGCAGCGTTCTGATCAGTCGTGTTTTGATCAGCAGGCAGTGATTTCCTGTCAAATGTCCCTCTTGATGTGCTTTACCCCTGTCTCTATAATGAGCCTACTTTGGTTACAACCACATCAGGAAGCCCGTCTACATATTGATCTGAGTCGGTGTCAAGTATTGACTTTTATTTTAATTGATCAGTAATGGTGTACAGTGCTGGTTTTACCCTTGGATCATCAGTGGGATCTATCAGACTGCACACTGGGTGAGAAACAGCAAAGCCATGATGAGCTCTGACGGTGTGACTATTGAATTTTCCTGAGTGTGCCATCTTGAAAATTAGCAGCTTAAAGGGATAATCCGGTGCATATCTGCTGCACTCGGTGACTGACTTGTCAGGGCTCCCCCCACAAACAAGCCGCTGCTGGAGGAGAGTGGGTGAGTTGTGTTTGGTCTCTTTGCTAAAGAAATTGGGCAAAGCTAAAAAGATGTTTGATGGTTAGTGCCATGGCTGGGACTCTACACTCACCGGCCACTTTATTAGGTACACCTGTCCAACTGCTCGTTAACACTTAATTTCTAATCAGCAAATCACATGGTGGCAACTTAGTGCATTTAGGCATGTAGACATGGTCAAGACAATCTCCTGCAGTTCAAACCGAGCATCAGTATGGGGAAGAAAGGTGATTTGAGTGACTTTGAACATGGCATGGTTGTTGGTGCCAGAAGGGCTGGTCTGAGTATTTCAGAAACTGCTGATCTACTGGGATTTTCACGCACAACCATCTCTAGGGTTTACAGAGAATGGTCCGAAAAAGAAAAAATATCCAGTGAGCGGCAGTTCTGTGGGCAGAAATGCCTTGTTGATGCCAGAGGTCAGAGGAGAATGGCCAGACTGGTTCGAGCTGATAGAAAGCAATAGCAACAGTGACTTAAATAACCACCCGTTACAACCAAGGTAGGCAGAAGAGCATCTCTGAACGCACAGTACGTCGAACTTTGAGGCAGATGGGCTACAGCAGCAGAAGACCACACCGGGTGCCACTCCTTTCAGCTAAGAACAGGAAACTGAGGCTACAATTTGCACAAGCTCATCGAAATTGGACAATAGAAGATTGGAAAAAAGTTGCCTGGTCTGATGAGTCTCGATTTCTAATGCGACATTCTGATGGTAGGGTCAGAATTTGGCGTCAACAACATGAAAGCATGGATCCATCCTGCCTTGTATCAACGGTTCAGGCTGGCGGTGGTGGTGTCATGGTGTGGGGAATATTTTCTTGGCACTCTTTGGGCCCCTTGGTACCAATTGAGCATCATTGCAACGCCACAGCCTACCTGAGTATTGTTGCTGACCATGTCCATCCCTTTATGACCACAATGTACCCAACTTCTGATGGCTACTTTCAGCAGGATAATGCGCCATGTCATAAAGCTGAAATCATCTCAGACTGGTTTCTTGAACATGACAATGAGTTCACTGTACTCAAATGGCCTCCACAGTCACCAGATCTCAATCCAATAGAGCATCTTTGGGATGTGGTGGAACGGGAGATTCGCATCATGGATGTGCAGCCGACAAATCTGCGGCAACTGTGTGATGCCATCATGTCAATATGGACCAAGCTCTTTGAGGAATGCTTCCAGCACCTTGTTGAATCTATGCCACGAAGAATTGAGGCAGTTCTGAAGGCAAAAGGGGGTCCAACCCGTTACTAGCATGGTGTACCTAATAAAGTGGCCGGTGAGTGTATATGTACTGTTGATGAAGTTAGGTGCTGTTCTGAGCATTATTTGTGGCTATAGAGTGGCATTTTGGTTGAGGTTTGCATATGAAGACGCAGACCGCTGTGTATTGCTGTTGTGCGGTCATTACTAAAGTTGTTATAACCAGGGAAGCAAGCAGTCGGCAACATTGACCTCTTGAAGAGGTGTCCAACTCTGTGTTACAGTGTGTTTGACCCTAACTTTAATTTACGCCGGAAAATCCCTTTAACGTCTGGATGTAGATTCACACAATGGAGTCTGAAAAATACCTTGAACTTCAGCATATACCCTTCACAACAGCCAGAAAATTATTGCTTGTACCGCATAAAAATGATGGCGTACAACTAATAAAACAGATTTTGTTTCCCACGCAGACAAGCCCTCATAATAGAGATACACAGTGTACGTGTAGAGGACGCTGCTGATGAGCACAGTCACAATCTTCAAGCTCTGCCCCGACATTAATGAGAGTCATTAGGCTCATTTAACTGAGGCCATTAAGAGGGGTGAAATTAAGCTGTATATCTAGTGCAGAAATTGGTATCATTGATGTGTGCACAGACATGAAATCTCCTCTGAGTTAAGTGCACCATAATTCAGCCTGGAACTGGGCCTCAGCGAGACATTTAGGGACAGCGAAAGTCACCAGCTGCACACAGTTCACAACATCCTCAGTCACTGTCTCATAAACTTTATTAACAACGATAACTGCAACAACAACCACAATGTGCTGTTGGCGTCAAACACAGCTCTTAATAATGCAGCCATCGGGATAGAGATTTATTGTTTCTCTCTAAAGCAGGATTTGATCAGAACTATGGGGGCTTATCTGCATCTCTTAACATGTGTTAACACGCCTCTAAACTTAAACATACTGCATCAACTGTGAGCCATACCAAGCAAATAGCTCATATACCAGACTTCTGAAAAGATGTACTCTTGCATCGTATGCGCATTGCAAAGGAACCTCTGCAACTTCAGTTTTCATTTCTAAGGATAATCAACAAAAGTATTTATAAAAGCCATTTGGTTACTGCAATTATGACCCCCTATTTTCTCCAAAACGCAACGCATTTTAATGAAGGTGTAAATACCCACAGAAGAAGGTTGTCTGAAATGGTAAATAGATGTTTATAACTAATTTCTGTTTTCAATTTCAGGTTCTGTGTTCCTAAGTGGAGACTCTGAAACTCAAAATGTGCATCCAACTGGAAACCTCACAGAGTGAAGTGAAAATTTCAAAGCCACAGCTGTTAATACGTGTTTGCTGACAAAGCCAGTGAGAGCTCTTTTGTCCAGCTTGTTCGAATAAAAGTGGGATAAACGCTTTGGAGTCAGGATTCAGCCTCAGGCAGCTTCAGAGGGCAATCGTCCAAAAACTCCTCTATTTGTCGGCAGAATTCACGAACTCAAACAAGGCTGAGAGACGCAGCAGCCAAACATACAAACACATCAGTTTGTTTGGCTGCGTGTAGCTGACGCTGAGAGCTCCGCAGACCTGCATGCCAAGTGTGAAACAAAACTGAGAACGTGTCAGACATGCTGCAGAGAGAGAGGGAGAAGTGCTGTTTACCTGTTCATCTTGAACGCCCCTCCTCCTGATATTCAACATGACATAACCATTGCTTTTAAATCGGCATGCACTGATCTGATCCTCGGCCCTGTCTGGATCACCTTCTTGTTTCCTGTCAGAGATGTGCATGTCCTTGGCAAAGTCCACAGTAACCTGCAAAAACTAAACTAGCGCAAAGTCTCCAAAACCCATCTCTGTTTTGTTTTATTTCCTTATAGAGATTTAAACTCTTGCTCAGATGCATCAAATGCAAAGAGGAAGAATACAGATATGACAACGTGACTGCAGTGCTCCATTTTTGGCACAAAAGGTCAACCAGGTTTTGAACCCCGACAGACATGAAGATAGATACAAGAGGATCCAGGAAAAGGGTAAGACAGAATGAAATCTGTGAAACATCCTGTCATAAAAAGATCGACAACAAAGACAAAGATACCGCCTGTCTGAACCTGCTCTTTGACGTGGAGTTTGAAATCTCACATTGTCAGATGGAAGAGGATAACACCGGAGCACATGGATTCTTCTATTCCAAAAAAAAAAAAAAGAATAATGCTTGTCTGATCACGTGATGAGGTCTGCAGAGTGTTTGACAAATCTGTCATCAAAATCCTGACTTCACTTTTCCAGATACTTGGTTTCACCACTGATGACTAAATAATGAGGTCTCACAGTTTCCTCCTCAAAGTCTTTTTCTGACAGATTGACAGTGCAGTTGTCGTGGTTGAGATCTCTGTTTGTCAGCCGTCTGTCTGTTTGTCAGCTGTCTCTCTGTCTTTGATTGACAATCGCCGCCGCACTGCCTGGTCTGACTCCGGGTAGAAAGCTTTAACTCTCTCCACATGGTGCAGAGACTTCCAGACTCCTGGTACTCGTTATGTGGAATCTAAGTAAATCAGGCCCTTGCTGCTTAATTCAATCAGACCACTCTAGACATGCATGTTCACCATTGTTCTAAGCATAGGAAGCTGTGGTGGAGAGAGAGAGAGGTGACAGTAAGCTGGAGATTTATCAGGATGGAGTATGAAGGTAAGCAGCATATCATACTACACCTCAAATCAAAGCTGAGAGGGATCTAAGCGATGAAATCCATCTCTAAGGGGATTGTAGCACCAAAGATACGTTATGCTTCCTTAGCCTTTGATAACACATGAAATAAGCCGAAACCAGGTTCAGCCAGCCCTGATGCAAAATCCCCACATCCCTGGGACAGCAGGTCTTTATCCTGCATGCAGGGGTCTGTCACGTTGCTTCTCATCTTCAACAGGAAGGAGTCCCTTGAAATGTTGACATCTCTGTGTGACGCTGTACAAGATTCAGCCCCCCCCCTTTTTTTTTTTACCCATTTAAACTCAGACAACTTACACTATGTATCTCTCATACAACCTTTCCAAATACAGGAGAGAGAGTAAGATCGATGGATTAAGACAGGCGGAGTTAAAGGGTGCAAAACAGTCCCTTGAGTTTTTTTTTTTTTTTTTTTTTTAATTTTAAACATTTAAAGTCCCACTCCAATTGTATTTTTTATTATTCGAAGTGTTTTCAATGGTCTTGACATTGTAATTATGAAGTTTTTGGTTCTCGGACACCAGTGTCTTTAGGGACATGATGAAAGTTAGTATCATGATTAGCTTTCTTAAGAGCATTGCAATCTGCTAACGCACATGCTTGTTCTGCGATTGTCCTTTCTATTTCTCTGAGTCTGTCCTGCATAGTGGGGCTCTGGGGTCGGATTTGTTTAAAAGATGGTGGAGTTTTCTCTTTACACCTTGCGTTGTGTCTACTTTTGAGAGGAAATTTCCGTTATTAGAGAGGCCATGATATATTTCCCAACTCTGGGAAATGTGTTATTCCCTCACTCTCAAACACTTGATTCTGTTTCTCCTGCTTTCAAGACATGAACAGTGGAGGAGGGATGGCTGCATTCGTCTTGAACATCCTCACATCCTTCATTCTTTCCACACTTATCTTGTGTCTCTAGGTATGGTCTCAGAAAGCCATTTTCCGTCTTTGTCTGCCGTTTCATATCTGTATGTGCACTGTGGCCTTTTAGAGAGCACATAAGGGGAGTGAGTGGAGCTGCAGCCCAGAGGAGCAGTAGGAGCAGCAGAGATTAATGACCCGGGAGACAGCTGAGGCATGAGTAATGAACAAACAGAGAGGGAAAGGAAAGTTAATGATGGGGAGAATGATGTGTTTACAAAATTGTGGGGAAGGTAGCCCCCTTGGGAAAAAGTGTTTTGTCACATTTTAGTTTTGTACTCCTGTCATACTCACTGAATTAAGACTGACTTGGCCAGTGCGTGCTGGACAACATGGATTGGATTTCCTCTTTCCATCCGGATTAGATTGAAACCAAACTCCTGGTTCACTTGAATCTCCTTTGAAGTGGAGCTGAATATGTTATGTATGCTTGTCTGACTACATATAAAAAAAATAGATCTGTGAGTTTTGTAACGTTTGAGTTGTTGAGTTGTTTTTGGGCTTTATGGCCTCTCACACTCCTGAAACTGAAGCTCTCCTTTGTGCAGTGTCTCTATTTAAAGATATTATATGTGTTCACTCACAGCCTGTAATGAACACATAAGACATTGAACTGTTGCTGTTTCATCCAAACCGAATGAGCTTTTCCTCTGATTTTTTTTCTTCTAATTGCCAAAGACATCACAGGATCTGTCCATGTTGCCTTGTAAAGCAGCTTTTATCTGTTCACTCCTCATTTCCAGTTCAGGATGTGAACTGTTTGAACTATACTTCTTTATATCCGCAGCTGAAGTGTGAGCTATGGTATTTCTTTAATCTATGATAGCCCTCGGGTCCTTCATAAGGCTGGAATCAGGGATGTATTCAAAGATGGACTGAGCTATAACACTAGCAGGATAGAAAGACATTAAAGAGTGAAGATAAACCGTTTACTGCAGAGCTTCATTTAAAGGCCGCTGGAAGACAGAGGTAGGATATACAGGAGAGGACTAAAGTGGGAGAGGAATAAAGTTAGGATGACAGTGACGGATGAGACGGAGGAGAAAAAAGTGGCAGATGTTGGTAGGTGGGGAGAGCAGAGCAATAATGCACAGATACTGTAAAAGTAAGGCTGACGGAAATGTCAGCAAAACACAGTCCAAGCTAGTCTTCGAAGGAAGAGCAGCTTTTTACATTTAAGTGGATATTTTTCATCAGAGGAGAGTGGAGTACTTTCTCCAACCAGAGAATTTCATTTTTATATTTTCTGAGAGGAACATCTTCAAGCTTTTTTTTAAAAATGGTTTGGAAGGAAATCTCTGTAATTGTTGCACCAAACCATGAAAATAGAATAAGCCCATGAAATTGATTTAGGCAACCTCTGAGGAGGAGAAAGCAGGTGGTTAAAGCACCTGTAAATAACTTTGTCCTTGTTTACTCTGGTGCACCCCTGTGGACAAAGAAGTGAGTCTTATTTGCCTTATCCTTTGAAATTGGTGCTACCAATAGCATCTTTGCATTCAGGGCCAGTGGGGCACGGCCCAACCACAGAGGGCACTGCTGTGCAGAAGAGGATTTTAAGCACTTTTTTTCATTTGATGAACGCAATTTCCCTACTTTCTGTAGTATATTTAGTTTACATATTGTTTGAATTAAAGTGGAATTTATGTGGTGGGTAACTGGCGATACCTGTGTGGTGTGTGCAGAGGACACAACCTCACGTGAGCTTCCCAAGGGAGCTGTTCACCTGTCTTTGGTGCTGAAATGGCTGTTTCGCTGTGGTATATTGTTTGTGGTGGCTTTGCATATTGATTGCTGTGTATTGAGTGTGCACCATTCACGCCTTTGTGTTATTATTATTGTCACGTTTGGGTCTTGAGTATTTGATATTGTGCGCTCTTTAACACTGCTATTGGTATGATAATATATGTCGCCAGATTGATATCGTTTGTGTGATGGTATTATTCAGCTGCAGTTTTCAAAGGTGCTTTGGTCCCCTATCTCACTTGCTGCTGTGTTTTTGATGTAAGGGTATGAGAGTAATATCCTTATTCCTTACAGGAGCTTTTAATAACACAAATGAATGAAACAGAGGAGGAGAATTAGCAAGATGTTAATTCTCCCTCTGACCTCTGGAGGGATAGTAAGATGAAGATAGATGCATGTGAAAACATCGGCCTCCATTCAGAGCTCTATCATCTTAACCAAATGAATGGAACAAAACAAAGGCTTGCACAGGGAGGAGAGTAAACATGGAGGACAGGCTGCGTGGGCTTGCTATGAATCCAGGATCTCTGGGATTTTTCAGCAATCGATACAGCATAAATGGAACAGAGAGTGAGACAGGAGGGGAGGGAAAGGAGCAAGATATCACAGTGTATTACTCATCGAAGGTGACAAGTGGAGACTCTGGCAAGAAGTTTGTCTCTGGGTCTTAATCTGATGAAAAACAACAGAAATTCATCCATTAATTCAAGCAGCTATATATTAAAAAGTTTTACTTTTTGTGTCTTTATTCTGTCTTCTTGACATTTGCACTCAGAGAAAGAAAAATATGTAACACTACAGTAGTGTTTGTAGTAACGCAGACACATCTCAGAGGCAGAAACCACAAAATCAATTCTCTGTAGCCATTAAAAGGCGCCAGGGAGTGTTAGTGCACTCACTTAAAACAAATCTGGCAGTATATTATGTATACTGTTTCAGGGCAAACCCTAATGAACACACACCATTACACACTGTGGCACACACGCACTCACACTAAAAATATGCATGCACAGGCTTATGTCATTCATACAGTAGACTAAGAAGATGAAAGGAGGATAAATCTACACAGAGATCAGAAGAAACATCCAGAAGTGGAGAGCGGACTTACCCTCTCTTATGATGTATGTGTCACAGGGGTCAGGCTTACTTCTGTGTGACTAAAAGGGAAAAAAAATGAACACAAAAGCTTGAGGATGTAGTGTTTTCATTATCCAGCTTTGGAAAATGTCATTAAATAGTCATGGGCTTGTGTTGAGCCCCGCTGAACTGTTTCAGTCTCAGCGCTCATATTATCCTTAACACCACAGGGGTCAACTAAAGTGTAGGGCTGTTCTTAAGTTACAGTGACTAATTTATCGTCAACACATGCAACATTTAGTACACACCACGCTTAAATCTTACAT